AGGTGTATCGCAGTCCAATGGTGTTCTCTGGAACTCTGCTTGGCCCACCTCCACTGTCCAGGGTCCCAGAACAGAGAGAGCGCTGGCCCATCCAGATCTTGGGTCTCCAGGCGCCTCCCTTGGCCCCGCCTTGTAGGCGTGACAGTTGCCAAAGTCTCAGTGGGGGTTGGAACTTCCAGATCAAAGCTGGAATGGCTACCCACTACATCTCCCCCTTTTTGTCTAAATAAGAAAGTTCTAACCTAATACAAGACTATATACAAAGGAATGGTTATCAAATATTGTCCAGGAATAATGAGGGATAATGACCTAGATAAGATGGAACTACAACCAATGCAAACAATATCAAGCAAGAAACACATACTAAAGTCCAGAGAAGTATAGAGCATAGGTAAATGGCATGTTACAAAGATCATTCCAAAAGGTGTCCTATCCTAAAGAACCTGAATCTAATACTTAATATGTTCTATCTACTAAGTTGTAACTATAACTGCTAGTCTTCAATCCCATCAAAGACCTGAGAAGGAATATAATGGTACCTGAGAAATGGTAGATGGATGTAAGCAACTTCTTCTTTAATATTGTAACTGTAATTCTTGCTTGATAATTGTTTTGTTATATGTAATTTTACTATGTTAAAGTTAAAACCTTCCTTTTAAAAAAAAAAAGAAGAAAAGGGAAGTGCTGTGGATATCGCTATATGTAAATAAACTCTGATTGGCCAATAGCCAGACAGGAAGTATAGGCGGCGGAACTAACAGAGAGGAGAATTGAGAAAGGAGGAAGGAAAAGAGAGACGGCCTGGAGCCGCCACCAGGACAAGGAAGATGTAAAGTACCGGTAAGCCATGAGCCACGTGGCAAAGTAAAAATTAATAGAAATGGGCTAAATATAAGAGTAAGAGCTAGACAATGACAGGCCTGAGCTAATGGCCAAGCAGTTTAAATAATGTAAGGGTCTGTGTGTTTATTTTATAAGTGGCCTCTGGGACTGGCAGGACTTGGCGGTGGGAGCTGGAGAGAAATTCTCCAGCTACATCTCTGTAATTGCTGGCCTGGACTCACAGAGATCTGCCTGTCTCTGCCTTCTAAGTGCTGGAATTAAAGGTGTGCATCACCACCACCTGGCTAAGTCATCACTTCTTAACATTCAGCACTGTGAAGCAAGGTCTTTGTCATACTCAGGTCTTGCACAAGAATGGTAAACAGCAGTGTCTCAAAATGTGTTTGATTAACCACCCTCAGTGACACCATAAAAAATCATTACTCAGGGTTGGAGAGATGGCCCAGTGGTTAGGAGCAGTTGTTGCTCTTGCAGAGGCCTGGAGTTCAATTCCCACCATCCACATGATGGCTCACGACCATCTATAACTCTGGTACTAGAAGATCCAATGCTTTTTTCTGCTTCCTTGGACACAGGCGTGCTTGTGGTACACATACATACAGACAGCACACTCATATACATAAAATTAAATAAATGAATCTCAAAATATGAAAGAAAAATCCCACTGGTGAATAGCAGTGGGGAAGCAAGAGCATTGTTTATGCCAAAGAAATGAGATTTAGCAATTGTAAAACTACCTGTTCAATGACAGTGGAGTCAAAGCCAAGCTAAATTAGAATGCTTCTGACTTAACCCAAAGAAGGCGGGAAGACAAATAAGAAGTTTGGCCTCTCTTCTTCCTTTCACCCTCTTTTGCACATGTAATGACTCTGTGTGCATAATTTATATTTTCCAAAAGTCATCGAGCTCTCTGGCCCATCCCAGTGGATCTCACATGTTACTGTTTTTCTGAAGCCCTGACTGATAAGTTTACACAGGCTGCAGTTAATTTGCTCCCAGTGAGAGGACATTACTCGCTTATTAGAAGCAACTTTGGGGCCAGGGGCAATTGATTTCTTAAGTAGGGTTAGAAGAAACTCAGAGCCATGAAAACTAGATTAATCTTGAAGTGGTAATGGGAGCCATTCATTTATTGATCAGTTTCTCATATTTAAGAGCGTGGTCTCTTTCCCATCCCAGGAGAGGTTCTGGAGCACATACAGCGCAATAAACAGTAGAGACTGGACTGAGCAGAAAATCAAGTTTCAGTCTCAGGTCTGTCCCTTATCAACTGTATCACTTCGAAAACATGTCTTAGGCTCTCTAAGCTCACTGTTATTTATCTGTAAAATAAAGAAAAGCTTAGTGCATGCCAAACAAAACTCTGATGTATATTAAATATATGCATCTTGGAATAATGCCAGGTAGAGTAATTACTTAAATAAATGTAACCTATTTTGTTAAACTGCCATGTTATCCAGCAATATCCCCCTGGCTTCTCTAGAGTCCACTTCCCATCCTCACTGATTTAAACAAACACATGAACCGTATTGAGCAATGAAACATGAACAGAAAGACACATGTTCCTTCTAGATGGGAATTTTGAAAGTAAACATGTTCACTGTCGTAAGCTTTAGTTTCCAAAGGAGGGCTATTTTGTCAGCCTGAGCCTCGCAGATGAGCAACAGTGAGTCACCAGCGCTGATCAATAGTGAAACTGTACTGTGATGGTAGAAAACAATAGCAGCAGAGCCCCAACTTCGTTATTATTAAAAATCATTAGCAGCTCACAATTGCTTACTACCATACAATAATCCAAACTACACAATCTAGGCATCTACTATCAGGATGGCCATTGCAAATCAGGGAGAAAGCAAAGGCAAATGAATGCAGATGTGAGGAAATTAAAATGTAAGTCTATAGAAAGTGAGTTTTGTTGCAAGGAAGAGTTCCAGATTTCTGATGACTGTAAAGGGAACTTTATGTGCAGGGTGAATTCAACATCCGTCACATAGGCAAAAATCACTTATTAAAGGAATCAAACCATTTAATGTTTGATTTAAACAGAGAGACGTGTCACATGGATTTAATAAATTGGCTATTTTGGTCAGAAGTGGAATGAAATGTGGGAAAATTATTTGACCTAAGGTCGTCTTCTCTGAGCTGTGGCTGTCATACAAAAATGTCTTGCGAATAATAACAGGACAACCACACTCACACAAGGCCAAAATTGTCTTTTAAAATTTGTTCTGCTGTCTATGATAACAAGAACTTTCTTGTCTTCTGTGTGCAATAGAAGCAGCGCAGGAGATGGAAAGAGGATGCACCATTCTGAGACTCCAGAATTCTACTTCTCTTGTCCTTTTTCTCTTCTACTTTGCTTTCAACTCCTGCTTCTTCCAACTTCCTTTACCCTTATTTACGCAGTGAATTTTTTTATTAACTTTTGACTGAGTACCTTTTACTTTAACCGATGTGCAATTGAACCATTGTGGTTATGGAAGAGAAAAATAATGGAACAGCTTAAACCATATATGTATGATTTCAGTTTCCATAAATTATGATATTCTCCAGTTTTGGAAAGAGTGAGGGAGCAGTACTCATTCCTGGAGAAACTGGTTGACTCCAGCCTCAGAATAAAGCAGCCATTGTTCAGTTTGAATTCAACACTAGCCTTTTCAAGCACACACGGAAGCAACAGAATGAAAGTCAGGCATTGTTTAGAGAAAGAACAACAATTTCTAAATTTTCTAAACTTGGGCTTATAGTAATCCAACATTTGCAGACTTGAGTTGTCATTCTGTATTGAAAGTTATAATACAAAAACTGTGGAAGGTATACTGCAAGAAAACTCACAAATAATATAGGTGTTTTGATTCTTAGAGAGTGTGGGTCATAAGATAGGTATGAAGTCCAACCTTGACATCCTGACCCCTACCCCTTCTCAACAACTAATCCCCTTCTCTTCCAATTATCAGCACCTACTCATGGTTGATCCTAGCATGGGTTTGGGTCCAAAGAAGAAATTACGAGTAACACTGGCATCTAGGCAAGTGTAGGAAACTTGCCAGCATATGACTTCCTTAGTTCTTGTTTCTCAGCAACAAGATGTGTGCAAATTGTGTGAAATTAACAGGGCACAGGGACTCTGGCAGACAGGAAGACAGAATTTAAGAAGGGAGTTGAACTTGGCTTTCACTCAGGACTGTATAATATTTCAATGTACACAGAAAAATCACTGACAATTTTACTTCCCACAGGAATTCACAGTAGCTACTTCACTCCTTAGAGAGCTAGCAAAAGACCAGGAAATCAAAAATATGCCAACACTCTGGACAGTGATGTATTTATTGAGTCATCATCTCGGAGGAAGGTTGAGGGTATCAAAAAGTCTAAAGTTAGTCAGAATACTAAAATGTACATCAAGCACTGAGATCCACTTGCAGTAGCCACCAAAGGAGGAGGGTTAGCATATCGTGGGGTCTGTTAAAAGTGTACATTCTCACCCTGTTCCAGACAAACCCAATCAGAAATTTTGGAAGTATAGTCCAGGAATCTGACAGTCTTTCCTTTTGATTTTTAGAAGGATTGATGTTTCAGGACTACAGAATAGGGTCAAGTGTGACCTATGTGTATTTGTAAACTGTATCTCATAACCTCATCTGTTTTAGGCAGATCGCTCCCATACATTGTGTACTTCATTGGGTACATAGTGGTTAAAAGAGTTACTCTAACCCCCAAAGCATAGAAAAACAAAGCAAAAGTAGGTAAATACGACTCTATCAAATTACAAAGTTAAGAAGGAAACACTGAGATGATTGTAGAGGCAACCCTCGGAATGTGAACAAAACATTTGACAAGAGCCCAATTTACAGAACTTAATATAAGGAACTCAAAAAACATAGGTGGAAGCTTAAAATATGGGTGTCTATTTGTTTAGTAAGTACAAATCTTTCATGGAAATTACTAGTGGCTTTGGGATATTAGAATATTATGAAATATTATAGATCTTTGTTCAATTTATTCTTTGTATCTAACACTGTGACTCTTCGAGGAAATTTTTCCTGTCTTTAGCCACTAGTGGTTTTTAATTTTAATTCTATAAATAGGGCTGGGTATGTAGCTCAGTAGTAGAATGCCTCATAGCATATAAAAGAGCTTGGGCTCAGTTCTCAGCACTGAAAATAAAACCTATAGATAAACTTTTGTTAGGATTAAACTATACTATTTATGTAGAATATGTATGTATGTATGCAAAAATATATACCTATGTAGAAAATTCAATACACATTTAAATAAAAAATTTCAAGACAGGGTTTCTCTGTGTAGTTCTGGCTGTCCTGGAACTCAGTCTGTAGTCTAGGCTGACCTTGAACTCAGAGATCTGCCTGCCTCTGCCTAACAAGTGCTGAGATTAAAGGTGTGCACCACCACTGCCCAGCAACACCTTGAAATACTTTAACATTGATTCCATTTGCATCTTACTGCCCTAAAGACACACAGAGTTTCTATCAATAGCACTTTATGGAACATAATAAATGATATATTATGTCTTTCTTAATCTTTTTAAGAATGTCTATCCACAACATGTGCCAATTTTATTTTAAAACATTTACTTGTGAATCAAAGACTATGCTTAATTTGCACTGAGAGTGTGTATCCAAAGCAAACTTGAGGTTTAAGGATGGATAATTTACTTCAGATAGTCTCTATAGTTGCTGTTAGATATACAAGCTTTAGAAAATATTTTATCTGATTATATCTCTGTTATAACGGAAAATACCAGATATCTATTACACTCAACATAAAATCATACATTTCATAGATAACATAATTACATAAGCTAGACAGAAAAGTTCCATAGCATAATGAAACTGTATGTTTACATTTAAACCTGCCAGTCTTCTAACCTAAAACTTCAGGCCTCTGTGATTAAAGGCCTGTGTGAGTTTTTATAGACAGTTACTGAAAACAGTGAGCACTGCGAACATCTGATTAAGTGTGTGCCTATCACAATGGGTTCACCTACAGAGCAGACACTGTGGTGACACTCGTTCTGCTAGCTTATTCTTGGGGTGCGGTCGGCGTGATCTGAACAAGCATCGACGCCTCAGAGAAGCACCTGGGGAACAGCTTAGGAAACTCATGCACCATGCCTCATTCAGTCCAGGTGGTTCTCACTTCAAGTTCTAAGGAGAGTGGAGATTGAGGGTAAGCCAGGCTGACAGAAATGTGAGAAGAAATGCAGACACTGTCCTTCAGGTTTTACTTTTGAGTTTTCTAGGCTTCCGATTGTGAGTAGTTTAGAAAACAAATAAAAAGGGTATATTCTATTCACCATTAATTTGTATCAGTTTTTATGGAAGTGACAACAGTCACATATATATTTTTTATAGAGTGACAAATTAAAAAAAAAAAGACAAACAAGGAAATACAAATGAGCTATAGCTTTGTAGTGACAACAAAATCCCTGATTCACTTCTGCCTTAAACTTCTTCCCCAGAGACCTTGCTAAGTTGTAGCTGGTAACTGTTAACTCCTCAGGAGATCCTGGGGAAATTCATGAGAGGAAATGTAGAGGAAAGCAGACCCTGAGTAAATATGCAGAAGCAGGCAGAAGGGAAAAAATCCTATTACTGGACAAGTCAGATGGCTCCTGGGATGGTTTGAATGTGGTGGTTTGAATGAGGCCACGGGCTGTTATATCTGAAAGATTGGTTTCCCAGTTGGTAGAATTGGTTAGGAAGGATTAGGAAGTGTGGCCTTGTTGGAGAAAGTATGTCACTAGGGGTTGGCTTTTAGGTTTCAAAAGCCCATGACATTTCCAGTTAGGTTTCTCTTTTTTTTCCTGCCTTGCATGTATGGATCAGGATGTAAGAGCTCAGCTACTGCTCCAGCACCATGCCTGCCTAATGCCATGTTCCCTGCCATGATAATCATGGACTTTTAATCCTCTAGAAATGTGAGGCCCAATAAACCTTGTCTTTTATGAGATATTTTGTTCATGTTGCCTCTTCATAGTGATAGAAAAGTAACTAAAACAGTTCTTGAGAGAACTTCATCACTGTTAAGAAAATCAAAAGTGAGGAGGTCTATCAACCTTCCCCATGTGATACCACAGTAAGTATTCTGTGTGAAGCAGCCTTCTCTGTGGCAATCAGAGGGGTATGTGGAAGGTAGTGGAAAACTAAAGATTTAGTGGATCCAACTCAGATCTAATTCAGCATATTTTCTGCTTGAATGCTAGATGACTCCACATGGATATCCTGAAGGTGTCTGAAAATAAGTTAGTTCATACATGGAGTTGTCATCAAGGAGAGAACCAATAAGAAATAGATGGACTACATTCCAAGTTATCTCATGACCTTTAACAATTCTTGATTTAAGGAGTCGTCATTCCTGTTTGAGTAGTTGTAAGAAAACCACAATGAGCAGTACAGTAACTTTGAGGCTCAGGATTAGTAACAAGTTAGCTGTGAGTATCACAAGCCTGAGAGGAAAAAGAGATGAAGTAAGTGTTTTTGGAATCCAGAAGGACAGATTCATGTAGAAATTTCCACAGTGATAGAATGTTAATGGAAAAAGGAGAGCCTAGGATGATACCTTGAGGTATTAAATATGTCATTTTTTTTTTCTGTTGGATAAACTCAACTGAAAGAGTAAGGCCAGGAAACCTGTGCTGTGTGATGGAGAGAGGTGGGATAATTCTGAAGATGAAGGTGGCACACTGGACTTCCAATCCTAGTCTCATTCTTCCTTGTGTGCAGTAGTTTTCCAAATGGCACCATGGTGGAACAATTGGCATCAAAAGCCTATTTTAATGAATATTCTTAAAACAATCCTCACAACTTCAACTTCCTACAAACACCTAATTCCAAGTTCCTTTCCATTTCAAGTACTATTTATGAAGAGCATCAATTTTCTCATATGACATCTATAATTTCTCTTGTTAGTATCATATGATCATTCCAAACTATTCATTTCTTTGTAATATTTATCACTTCTCAGAAATTGGCTTATAAACTTTTTACTTTTTAATTTTTTTTGAAATTATATATGTCTGTACCATACATTAAGCCTATTCTACCTGCCTATTCCAGACTACTTTACTTCTGCTTTCGTTACGTATGTACTACAGGCCTTCAAATATACAATTCTTGTGTACTTCTTTATTTTTCAAATGTTTGAGGGGTTTATTTAGATCTAATGTGTTCCGAATTGTGCCTCCAATTCTTAGTACACTGACTGATGTTTAGTATGTGCTCAGTAAATGAGTGTTGAACAAATTAATCACTGCAGATGTTTAATTCTTATTAGTTCAGTATTGCAGTCCACTTTAGAGATAATTCTTAGACTTTTCCCATCCATTGTTTCCATTTATTGCTGGTTCACTTTTATTCATTCAGAAATCATTCCCTCATTTAAAACTTCTTATTGTGTGAATCTTTTCTGGGGAGACATGAAAATATCTATGCATCCCGGGTAGGATGCGAACAACAGACCAAAGAGAGGGTTTGGTGAAAAAAGAGTTTAACTAGGATTGCTTACAAGAGTGTGGGTGACAGTGTGCTTACAGACAGACACATGGGAGGCTTACAGGCAGCTGCACTGCTGAGGAAAGACTGCTCCATCCCAGTAATGGTTAAGCATCTATACGCCCTTTGGGAGCAACTTTATCAGCCCTGTCCTCTAGTAACTCTTAACTGTCTATAATTCCCTCCAAAGGGAACTTGTAAGCCACAGCCCCATGACTGAAAATAATGGACCTAATGTTATGCAGGCTTTTGAGAAAGATCTGTTGACTCTTTAAGTAGGCAACAGCCATGTGATGGCAAGCTGAGGGACAGAAATGGAAACCATAGATGCAGTCACCAAGAGTTGCAATTTATTGAGAAAAACAGTGAAGAAATCGTTATAGTGAGATGTAGTGGTCTAAGGCAAAGAGAAGTAAGTATTGGGGAGACACGGAGCAAGGGTCCTTGGCCCAGCGCAGAGGAGGCATGTTTCTAAAAGGCATTCCCCCAAGGACAGAAGAAATGATGGGGTTGACAAGAGAGCCATGATATGTAACATTCATGGTGAGTCTTTAGACCTAAAGGGGCTTTGTGTTTCTGATATCTACTCCCTCAATAGCTAGGTACCATGTTCTAGAGACAGGTGACTTTAAATTTTCTAAAGTATTTGATGTTGTGTCCTTCTGCTGTTTTCCTGTATTGTTGCTCTTCTCATCCAGGAGATAAAATTCTGTTTTAGTAGCGACACAATGACTCCTAACAATATTCTGCTATATTCATTGATTATTGTTTTACTCAGCTATCATCAGTGAAGCATCCTCCTGCAGTAGGTGGATAGTAATACAGAGACCCAAAAGCAGACAATGTGAAAAAGTGTAGGGACTTTGGCACTTTCACTCCCAAATGGGATGCCTTCGCATTGAGAAGGGCTCATGGAACTAGGCAGAAGAGAAAGCAGAAAAATTATAAGAACCAGAGGGGATGGATGACACCTAGGAAACCATGTCTTCCAGATTCAGTAGGACTGATGTACATATGAACTTTTGGAAACTGTGAGAGCATGCACAGGACTTGCACAGGTCCAAGCTAGATAGGACTCCAGTGCTGAGAGGGACAAGAAGACAAAATTTCCCATCCCTAACCAAGAAGCTATCTCTTAATGACAACAGTTCAGAAATAGAAAAATTAGTTTTCTCTAGTGGGTTTACAAGTCGCACTTAAGAGCAGAACCCATGCCTAGCAGTAGATGATCTACACAAAAGGAAATCATTGGTATTTTTGTAGATTTTTTTATGTGTGTCTCATATTGCTTGTTTAAGCATTTATTTGCCTCACTGGTCTTGTGATTGTAGATTATGGTTTTCAATTTTGTGTTTTTATAGTTTTTACTTCTTACTGTATATGAATCTATACATGTGTGTTTCCTGGGTTTTGTTGGGGGGGGTTGTTTGTTTTTATTTGCCTGTTTATTTTCTAAAGATCAAAAGGGGTCATGACTCACAGGTTGGTCGTGACCCACAGGTTGAGAACCACTGCAGTGGGCTGTCCACAATCCTTTATGGTTACCAATTTTTATGGTAACCTTTATGGTACCAAAATTTACCAAGTCTTACTTGCCTGCTTTCAAATGTAAAGTATTGCTTTTTAGTTGCCCTAAATATACAGAACCAAATGTTAGGTTCAAGTTTAATTTAATGTAGGTACTTTAATTAATAAAAAATGAGACCAAGCAAGAGGAAAATATTTTACCTCCAATTGCAAATGTATCTTTAATACATAAAATGTATCTTTTACTAGCCTGGTGTTCTTGGGTTATTAAATATTTATGTTTTGTGTGACTGAGCAATACAACCTTAGGATTCTGAACAGTGAATGGTGATGTGATTGTATGCATTTGTAGAGTGTATATTCATTAATTGGTGGATATATTTTCAAATAGTTACACTGACGACAAGCCAGAACAAAGCAGTAATGTAGAAAAAACTATAGAAAATGGCAATGTAAGTGTGACTTTATTATTACAGAATTTCATGATGATTAATCAGCAAAGAAAAATTAAATTCACAAAATACATCCTTATTGGGGTGACTTTTCTTAGTCACTGTAGTTGCTTTATGTATTTATGGACATTAAGACACCAGACTAAAAATAAAATTCAGTATGATTTAAATTATAAAATTCATAAGGTGTCAGTTTTTATTTTTAGAACCAATCATCTAACTGAATATGTTTAACATCAATGATTTGTTTAATGATTATACACAAAGTAAGAATATGTAAATAACAAATATAGCCAGCATTCTCATTAGCATTTTCATTTGATCAAGTTAGTGGGAAATTATAAAATTGTTCAGAAAAAAACCCACATACTCTAACTACATTGAATCATATTATGAGAAAAGTTGATATTTGCACTGATACCATTCAAGCAAAAACTGCTACCTTTTTAGATGGCACTTTTTGTCTCCAAAGGAAATGTTATCAACTAGTTATGACATCACTACAAGTATTTACTCAAATATTTTTAGGAAAAAGAGCAGATCTGTGGTGATTATGCTATATTACTGTGCCAGGCATTGTTGTATATAATGACTGAATATCGTCAAATCCATCTTAAATCGTATTATTGGCAAATGTAATTCTCCGCTGGTTTACTACAAAAACTTGGACTTGATAGTGATCTGTGGCTCACTGAGTGATGACACCTCCAGCTATTTCCATAGGTGAGGGATCTCTTTTTTTACTTGATATCCTATGGGAAAATAAGAGAAAAAGTTCATATGTTAGTGTCAGATCATCACAAATGTGCATGCTTATGTTTGGTGATGGAGTCTTTGTTGAGGGATGAGGATAATGAAGATTCTGAATGCAAAGTTTCAAGAGTGGAATATTCTAAGGCCTCTCTGAGGACTACCATATATTTACTATGGTTTCCAAGTAATCATATTTAATGGCCTATTTTTAAGTATGTGAGTTTAAAACTATAAATTTCTTGAAAATTTATTTTAAGACAGGCTATTTTAATTTAGTATGACTACATAAAACACACGTGAAGCTCTTCATAGTGACTAAGGGTAAGTATCAACAGTGGTTAGACAGGCTGCTGGGTACATATGACTGAAATCTCTTAGGAGTATACTCTAATTCTATTTTGGGGGCAGGCGGAGGAGGCTTTGTGCTTGATGATGTGTGTTTTATTCTGTTCTGTTCATAAAAAATTTATTTCGTTTTTGCCATGTTCTTAATTTTGGGTCTGATTACAGAACACAGTAAATTTTAAATTACGTGGGAAATAATTTCTACTTAATAATATGAATAATTTATCTTCAACATATCCATTAGAGCTAAGGCTGTGACTCAATGGTAGAGCTCTTGCCTTAGCGTGCACTAGTCTACTTAAGTTCAATCCTCAGTACTGCAGAAAAACTCAAAACAAACCAATAAAATACATACTAGAGTAATTCAAGATTTTGTGTTTAATAACAACAACACTCTGTATCTTTTAGAAAAAGAATTGTGCATTTTTGTTCAAACAAAGAGGAAATATAATTATAGCGAGTTCATGGGGAGCTCTACTGCACTGTCTATCTGTGGTGCAGTTTTGTACCCTCACGAGCCCACTTAACCAATGTGAACTTTGTATGACGTGTGTCGATAACAAGTAATGATCAAGCACCATCTCTCTACGTGTTTTATTGGGCTAGCAAACTGTGTTCCTTCAAAACAGGGTGATTGTTGTGAAATATCCAGGCAAGCAGAATGACTGAGCGGTGCTTCCAAATATTTAAAGCCATATAAAGGAAAGTCAATTAGCTTCACGTTTCTTCCCTTAGAAAATGATTTTTAATTATTTGGATTTCAAAAAAATATATTGGAACCAATAGAATATCTTTTAGAAAATGTTTAAGGTCTTGGAGCAGTCTGTTTTGGTAGATGTTAAACTAAATGTTTAGAAAATGTTAAATGATTAGAAGAGTTGAAACCAAGAAGTAGATACATTTTTAAAAAATCTTTGTTGCATTTAAAAATAAATGAATTTGAGTGTCACTAGGCAAAGGATCCATTCCATTTGCCATGTACATGACCCCTTGCTATGGCTGTTTACCTCCTCATTTTGTTTTTTTGTTTGTTTGTTTGGTTTTTTTTTTTTTTGGTTTTTTTAGACAGGGTTTCTCTGTGTAGTTTTGCACCTTTCCTGGAACTCACTCTGCAGCCCAGCCTGGCCTTGAACTCACAGAGATCTGCCTGCCTCTGCCTCCTGAGTGCTGGGATTAAAGGTGTGTGCCACCACCGCCCGGCTCTCATGTTGTTTTTTTATTATTCCTGCCTGGTTGTCAAGTCCAGTAATTAGGTTTCTTAGCTTGCTTCTGAGAAAGCAATATGTGTACATTTACTGTTCAGTTGATTGAGCAAACTTTCATTTGTAGTTATCAAATGTCAAAGAGAAACACATAAAGATTATTGATATTCAAATTAAATATATACTTGCATTCATGTATAGTGAATGAGAAAATGAGCATAATACTTTTTTCTTTTTATTTATTCTCTCATATAATACATTCCAACTGCATCCTCTCCCAGTTGTTCTTTTAAATTAAAAGTAAGCAAGTTATCTGTTGTCAGCACTAAGTAAGTTAAGATATTTTCAAATTCAGAGATTTAGAAATGTAGAAATTGACATATTCTGGCAATGAAAGTAGCAAAGGAAAAATATTTGCAAAGAATACATAATATCAGATGGTGGCACTCTTTTTATTGGTATGACATGAGGCCTCATTGACTATGTCTTTCAATAAATATGTATTAAAACTTGAACAAAACTTGTCAATATATATGAAGCTACAGTGATGAATAGGTCTTCAGACAAATGTAACTAAATTATACAATATGTGTCTTATGTGAATTGGTCATTTTTCTAAATAATGTGACCTGGAAACTTCATAGTTTAGTTCGCTGTAGGAAAACCTAGGGGGAAAACTGATAAACACTTTTATTGGAAGGAATCCATAATCCATCTGTACCTGTAAATTCTTCATGAAATCAACCCCCTGTAGTCATTTCCCTTACATGTGAAGTCTAAATGATGTTTCCATAGACCAATCCCACATAAAGCTATATTGAATACCTTCATTCTCAGGTCCTGGTATTGTCCATTCCCTCCCTTTTGAGTTACATTTACTTACCTCAGCTTGAGCATCACCAAGAAAAGAATTCCACAGGTAACAATCATGCACAGGACAGCATAGACTAGTTCTCCTGGGAAGGAAAGATGAGCAATTCATTGGGTATGCTAATGTGGATGGGAGCGGGGAGCCCAGCAAGTTTCAATCCACCTAAAGAACTACAGGCAGTTAAGGAATGCTGAGAACTGGAAAAATACTCTTCCCCAAGAAAGAGCACATTAACTGGCTATCCAATACCACATGGCCAGTCTTGAAAACACACATACAAGTAACCTACAAACTGAGATGGTTATATTAGTAATATATGTGCATATACTTATACATATGTAGCAATAATTAATGAATGAAGAGGTCATGAATTTGAAAGAGAGCAAGGAGGTGTGTACGGGAGAGTCTGGAGGAAGAAAAAGGAGGGGAGAAATGATGTAATTATATTATGATCTCAAAAAAAAGAATTTTTTTTATTCATTGGATTTTTAGAGACAATAAGCATTATTTTCATAGAGAATTTTTAACTGACCATTGAAGGGAGACTTGAACCCAGTCAGAGTAATTTCCTTTGAATGCTTTCTTTTATATGAGGAAATGTCTTTGACATTAGGAGTTGGATAATCTGAAAGAAAATAATAAAAATTATATTGAATATTTAAGACTTATACTTTGTCTTTATCAAATCATTATTTGTTTCATATTCATAAATGACACCAATCCAGTTCCATGACACCATTTTTATAAATCCAATGATTTATATGAAAGTGGAAATGCTAAAACTTTAATAGTGTGTCTCTGCCATGTTTAATCAGCCAACTTCATTGAGGAAATCTTTTCCCTACAAGCCTTGATTAGAAGAAAAGACCCCATGTTCTAGGATGGCTCACTGAACCTTGCCCATGGAGGAGAGACGGGAGAGGGTAGTTTTAGGCTTCCCATTTGGATACTGGAGAAGACTCCTTCACACAAGTGATTATTTCAATGTGTTTTAAATATATCACATTTTCCAAAGAACTGCTGATAAATGGCTTCCTACAAAGGAAAGTCTCTAAGCACGCTGGTGCCCCTCCGCTCAGACCTGAAATCCTCTGCCTTAGTTCTTCGATCATATCTCTGTGCTCTCACCAAAGTGAAGACCTTCCGTTTCTATCGTTGAGACTGACTTTTACCTTCTGGAAGGGCTACTGCTGGCTTCTCTGGAGACTTAGTTGTCTTGGGCATTTCTGAGAAATTCAGTCCTTTTAGATGTTGCTTGCCTTACTACTCTAAAAGGCATGCTTCTTTGTGGCCAGGTCAAAAACTGTATTTTCCTGCTGTGTATATTATTTTCACTGACTTTTACCCTTCAAGAAAATAAAATCTTGATGATTAATTAATGGATCTATTATAGCTGATTAATCACACATAGCATCAGCTGAATTCAACAGAAAGAAGAATGCAAAATGAAATAGCACGCAAGCAAATTTGTTTGGTGACTCTGGTCAGATTGGAAGCATTTAAGAAATGGGATGAAGGAAAGCCTCCACATAGGAAAGCTTGGCTGTCCTCTATTACAGATTGTTGCATGAATTCCCAGACCTAGAAATATAACTATGAATATATATGTATATATATATATATATATTTACAACATTATAGTTCATGAAAACTGGGAAATGTATACCCAATGACATCCAAGGGTAAGGCTCCGAGAGAGAAGGTAGACTAGAAGATATACTACGAAGCATGCAGCCAATCTTCACCCCATATAGCCTATTGCCAGGCATATAAGTTCTACATTACTAATCATCAGTACATTGGGAAATTCAGGAACAGAAATTTCTAGGTGGATCAGAAAGAAACCCAAATAAGAAAAAAAAATTGTAAAAAATGATTTGGCATTAGAAACTTATTTTCAGGAACTCTAACCTCTAATTCATTTAAAACATTTTTAGTTCATACTATTTTTCATCTCCAGGTCTTAGTAATTGAAAAATATACTCTGTCAAAAATGAATAGGTGTACAATTTGGGCATTTTCCAGTTTTGTGTTTATGAAACACATTTTGTTATTTGTGTTATTGCCCTGAGCCATTTATACTAATGGTTCTTGAAGAGAAGGATTCATTTTAATCAACTTGTACATACAGGCTTTCTGTAAAATAAGTGATAATGCAATTGTAGCTAATACATAATAACATGAAGAACAAATGATCCTTTTTTAATTTTACAGTATTTTGGTAGTTTTAGGCATTATCATGGACTCTGCAAATATATATATTATATATATATATTATATATACACGTTGGCTGATTAATTATTCAAATAATATGATTTTTTCTGGAAATTCTATCCTAGGGATGCTTGTCTTGGTTTGCTATCATAATTTAACTTATCATTGAGCATGAAAAATCTATTATTCTGGCAAATTATGCAATCTTTTGTATATAGAACTAAGATAATTGCTAGATGGCTAGAAAAAAGTAGAAGAAATTATTTTATTCAGTAAATTTCACTCCCATGGTACTCGTGATCAAAATCTAAAAGGTTAGTGACCTAAGTTTTAAATAGGATTCCAGGAAAATGTATCTACTAGTCACTATGCTACTTAAATATTGCTCCCTGGCAGGACACTGAGTATCAGCAAGAAAGGCTAGAGTTACCAACGGTTTCTTGGCTACTGAAGCCCAGTGGATAGTTTTTCTTAACTTTTATGAAAGGTGGGGTTTTATTACCATAAAACTGAAGTTGGGAGAGTTGATAGTTACCTCAGTCCCATATCATCTGTTGTCTTTATTATAATCTACATTTTAGAGAAAGGAAATGTTTTTTAAATACATTATAAAATTTCTGTACATTTGGTGGTAAATCTAGATTTACTTTAACATTATACTAAGAACAAATTTAAATAATATTATCTTCAGAAATATGGAAATTTCTGTTTTTTTTGTTTTTTTTTTTTGTTTTTGTTTTTCAGCATTCTCACAGACACTGGAGGTGTGTCCTTGACCCCATGTACCTCTTCAGTACTGTGTGCAACAGGTCTATGGTCTGATGTCATCACTAGGTGACTGGGTCTCAGGAAATCTCATGCCCCTGTCTCATCCTCTTCTCAGTAATACATGTTGGAGCTGTCTTCAGAAAACTCCATTCAAGGATCAAGGGTTTCACACGAGCGGTTACACTGAAGCTAATTTTTTTCAAGACTACTTAAAGTCGGCCTGCAATTTTCCCTTTATTTTTCACTATTGGCTCTTTGTACTATCTCTCATGTTTAAATGCCAGAGTGTTGTAAAATTCAGTACTAAAAAGATGATTTTAAGTGAATTGCAGACTTGCCCAGTTATCTTCTTTTATATTTGCTTGCATATCATAAGCTACCATTAACACCACATTAAATTTAGATTTTCTTATTTTAAACTAATTAATTTCATCTTTTTTTTGTCTCAGTAAATGATGTAACTATCCAATATCATTCAGAAAATTTGGAAAGAATCCTTTCTCTTCTGTTTTCTCTCAATCATGTGACACATTAGCCAATTACTCCTGCTGATCTTACCAAATACATATCTGAATTCTACTCTTAATTTTTATCTACTAAATAAAATTTAAATGAATCACACTGATAAATATTCCCAACATGGTCAATTTATCTTCCTATTTCTGATCTTTCTTGCCTCTAATCAACAGAAACAGAATGACCTATTTCAAAACCAAATCAAATAGTGTACCATTCTTTTGAATGTATATATACTTAAACCCAGGAACTCCGAAATGTTTAGGGTCTCCTGCACAGTCTATGGATATTTCAGAACAACTCATCCTTGCCTATTCTACTCTCTCTCTCCCTTCTGTCCATTCCTTTCCTCCCCTCCTTTCTTTTCTTCCTTCTTTGTTTATCAATCAGATGACATTTTATTGCTGGATCATTTGGCATTTGCTCTTGCCTGTTTCTGGAGCAGACTTCTCTTTCAAGTGCCCACTCAAAGAGCAGCTTCTTGGAAAGATCTTCCCAAGCCATTTTATTGAAAAGGATCCATTGTTATCTATTTTAGAAATCTGACTTCAAAAGGCACAGTATTTTAAAAGATTTTTAGGAGAGAGCATTTTTAAACTGTTTTCTATGCAACACTAGGTCTGTCTACCTTTACACATTAGGAAAATATAGGGCATCAGAAGAAAGTGATTGAAAAAAATCTTTTCTTAGACAAAAAATCATATGCAGTTCTAAGACAAAAGTGTTTCTGTGTGTGTGTGTGTGTGTGTGTGTGTGTGTGTGTGTGTGTGTGTGTGTGTCTGTGTACATGTAATGAACTGAAACAGATAAATTAAAATCAAATTTCTCAAGGTGGTATATCATGGAATCCAAGAGCAAAACCTTGGAAAGCATGGGTATATGTAACTGGTAGACTAACATTTGTGTATTGGGATGAGAACAGAATAGTCTTTGAGGATTCTTATTTTTTAACCAGTCAATAGAAAGCAGGAAGACACAATATTAAATGTTCTTTGTCCACAAATATAAACACTAACTTCAAATCCTTTAGTTTACTAAACACACATGTACATAGATACCTGCCCCATGATTTTTTTTCTTGCTTTTAGACACTGTTGTACATAATTCTATTCTCTGTCTCTGGAGCCAAGCAGATCAACCACCTAACTCCACGTTGCTACTCCTGCTTTCTACCAAACTATAGGATACAGAAAAGAGTTTTAGACAGTATTTTGACTGATCTTTTGGCGTCCAAACTATCTTCTAGATTTGTGTAGGAAATTAGAATTTGTTATTACTTTGAATTTAGGGAATCAATTAGAAGAAGAATGACCAAGTGTGACAATCCATAGCACAGAAGCCATGATTAACTTAAAAGCCGGTGTCACAGCTCAGTCAGTAAAGTGTTTCCTGTGAAATCAGGAGGACCTGAGTTCATTCCCTAACACTCATATCAAAAGCCGTATGTGGTGGTAACCTTTTGCGTTCCCAGTGCTGGGGAGGCAGCAGCAGGGAAATGCCTGTGGATGGATGATATCCATCCTTGGTGAATTTGTGAATCTCAGACCCCCGTAGCAGACTTGTCTCAAAATAATTATGTGAGAAAAATCTTAAAAAGGAAATATTTAAAAAAAGAAAAACCCAAGGTAGGTGACTTCTGAGGAATGACTCCTGAGGTTGATTGATTTTCACATGTACATTAGTTTCATTCACACATAACCATGCATACACACAAAAGCATATAGAAGCACAATTAAAACTAGACTATTGTAGCTGCCAATGGTGTCATATTTAAGGGGATTCTGTTCGAAGCATGTTAATTATACGTTAAATTATATTGTGTAGAGGATCTTTTCAGGGCTTTGAAGTTTTACATTTCATCATAGAGATGAGACAGTAAGTGGTATATTATAAAATACAATGCCAGCTGGGTGGTGGTGGTGCACGCCTTTATTCCCAGCACTCGGGAGGCAGAGGCAGGTGGATCTCTGTGAGTTCAAGGCCAGGCTGGGCTACAGAGTGAGTTCCAGGAAAGGTGCAAAGCTACACAGAGAAACCCTGTCTTGAAAAACCAAAAAAAAAAAAAAAATTAAATATAATGCCTTATTTTTTCTAACCATACAACATACAGAAGTTTAGCTTTCTGA